TGCTGGGATTACAGGCGTGAGCCACTGCGCCCAGCCAGCTCCTGCATTTATATCTGTATAGCAGACCTTACTCATAAACTCCAGATTCATATATCCAACTAATTCCTCAACATCTCCATTTACTTTGTCTCTTTCCTCTCACTGGAATGTAAGTTCTGTAAGGGTAAGAACTTTGTTTTACTCATTGCTATATTCCCTAACATTTTTTAAAAGAGTGCCTGGCACATAATAGATGCTCAATGATATTTGTTGAATTAAACATTTTCCTGTAGACAGAACAGACTTTAAAGACTCAAGATGTTTGTAAGTCTTATAGTAACCTCTAGGGACCTCTCACTTCCTGGAAGAACTTTCTGTATAATTTATTCTGTCATTCACCTGCTTTCTAGTAATAGTTTGGGCCCTCCTGGTGCCACTTTTTGTTTGAGTCAAGACAGTCTTGGCAGGCCAAACACCGTGGCTCACGCCTATAATCCCAACACTTTGGGAGGCCAAGGAGGGAGGATCACTTGAGCCCAGGAGTTCGAGACCAACCTGGGCCACAAAGGGAGATCTTTTTAAGAAAATATTAGCCAGGAGTGGTGGCATGTGCCCGTGCTCCTAGCTACTTGAGAGCTGAGGTGGGAAGATAGCTTGAGCCTGGGACGTTGAGGCTGCAGTAAACCATAATTGTGCCACTGTAGCACAGCACTCCAGCCTGGGCAACAGAAAAAAAAAAAATCGGCCGGGTGCGGTGGCTCACACTTGTAATCCTAGCACTTTGGGAGGCCTAGGTGGGTGGATCACCTGAGATCAGGAGTTCAAGACCAGCCTGGCCATCATGGAGAAGCCCCATCTTTTAAAAAAAAAAAAATCTTGGCCAATCACACTAGAGTGTCCCTTTAATTTATCAAGATAAAATATATCAAGCCTGTAATGGGCACGTAATGAGCACACAGTAAATGGAGGCCTTACTCTCAGCTTTCTCTACCTCTTCTTGCCACAGGACCGCCTGGCTCGGTGCACCATGCATTGCAATGACAAAGCCAAAGATTCAATAGATGCTGGGAGTAAGGAGCTTCAGGTGAAGCAGCAGCTGGACGGTTGTGTGACCAAGTGTGTGGATGACCACATGCACCTTATCCCAACTATGACCAAGAAGATGAAGGAGGCTCTCTTATCCATGGGAAAATAAAAGTCTTTGCCAATGCCCATTGGGGCGGAGGGCAAGGATATATTTTTTATAAGGAATTGGGAATTTTAGTCTTTTAAGCAAAGTTTATGAATGAAGAAATTAAGGATGGCCGCAAGCGTAAGGCATATGTCACTTACCTCTGGAGACTGGTTCTTTTATGTTTCAGTCCTAAAAAATGAAATGGATAAAAGTGGTGCTAAATTGGGTCAGAGACATTACAGGAGAATTTTGGAGCTTGTATTTCCTGTGGCCAGTGCCTGTCCTTGCAGTAAGGATCTTCCCTGTAACAAGCCAGAGCCCTCCAAGGTACCAGACTTCTTAACTACACAGGTACCAATAGCCTGGCAGGTTAGAGTTGGAGTTTGAGGAGAGAGATTTTCTCTTTGTTGCCAACATCCTGTTGACCGGAAGTGTCACCACGCCATTTTCCATAAGCTGTGAAACCAAATCCATGAGGTTACTAACTTAGAAGGGAAAAAGTTTTCTGAGTCTTTGTGTTCTTGGGTTTTGTGTAATTTATACAAGGGCATTCAAGTTGATTTTAAGATGTGGAATTGGGAGGGAGACTAGTTTGGATAAGAACTTTGAAAGGCTCCTTGTGGATCCCCATTTCTGGTCATCAAGATGTGGATGTACATTTCTTAAAATTATTACATGCTGCATCTTTCAGCCTGGGGACCATGCAAAAACATGAGAGGTGATGACACTTTTTTTTTTTTTTTTTTTTTTTTTTTTTGAGACGGAGTTTTGTTCTTGTTACCCAGGCTGGAGTGCAATGGCATGATCTCGGCTCACCGCAACCTCTGCCTCCTGGGTTCAGGCAATTCTCCTGCCTCAGCCTCCTGAGTAGCTGGGATTACAGGCACACGCCACCATGCCCAGCTAATTTTTTGGTATTTTTAGTAGAGACGGGGTTTCACCACGTTGACCAGGATGGTCTCGATCTCTTGACCTTGTGATCCACCCGCCTCGGCCTCCCAAAGTGCTGGGATTACAGGCTTGAGCCACCGCACCCGGCGATGACACATTATTATGAGAAGCATAATTACTCACTGATGGGCCCTGAGACTGTAGCAAAATGACAATGACAGGAAAAAAAATTTTTTTTTTTTTTTGAGACGGAGTTTCGCTCTTGTTACCCAGGCTGGAGTGCAATGGCACGATCTCGGGTCACCGAAAACTCTGCCTCCCAGATTCAAGTGAATCTCCTGCCTCAGCCTCCCGAGTAGCTGGGATTACAGGCGTGCGCCACCACGCCTGGCTAATTTTGTATTTTTAGTAGAGACGGGGTTTCTCCATGTTGGTCAAGCTGGTCCCGAACTCCCAACCTCAGGTGATCCACCCACCTTGGCCTCCCAAAGTGCTGGGATTAAAGACAGTGAGCCACTGCCCCCAGCATGACAGGACAGTCTTGCAGTAACACTTTCCCCTTGAAGAGAAACGGACTTTGATTGTGATATATACTAGTATCTGGGAATGCTAGAGGAATAAAAGAGGACCAGTTGGCTACTTGATTATAACAGAGTTATAAAGTACTGGATTTGGAAAAGCCTGGTTTTTACAGAACCAGTGGAATGAAAACCTAAACCTAGCATTGCCTACTTAGCCCCCTGAGTTAACAAAGCCCAATTGACACAAACCCCTGGCAACAGGAAATTCGAGGGAGACAAAGTAACCAACTTGGGCTGGGATGAGCTGACTCCCTTAGAGCAAAAGAGAGGCAAGCCCTCATTACCAAATACCACTTTTGCCTCGGGCTTTTGCAGCTTGCAGTGCTCCTGCCCTGACATGACACTTTATTGTTTTGATAGCAACCTCACTGTATTTTCACCAACTTATTACTTGAAATGATAATATAGCCTGTCCACTTGCTGTTTCCAGGCTGTGATATATTTTCCTAGTGGTTTGATTTTTAAAATAAATAAGGTTTAATTTTCTCCCCACTATTGTGTTTTATTTCCTTATATCTGGGTAGTGAATATATTAACTTTCTCAGTATGCTTCTTTTAACAGGTTAAATTAGTTTAGCATGTTCAAAAGAGTGGAAATTAGTTATTTGTTATGGTTCAAATGCAGAACTGGTTCATTGTAAATGGGAAAAACTTTGAGAGGAGGCTAGGTTATTGTGACTTGAAGTTCATTAATGCAGAAAAGAAACTATGAGGCTAAAAAGAGAAATTCATTATGTCAGGTCTCTCGCTTCAACTAAACACTAATAGCAAGTGGTAGGAAAGGTACAAAGCTGTGACCCTGCTAGAAAAAATCAAGTGTCTAGGATTTGGAGTACTAAGTGAGTGCAAAATATGTGGTGAGTTTAAGTCTTTACTATCATTGGCATTTAAATAGAGCCATTCCAGAATATCAAGAATGAACTGAATTTTTAAGAACCATCCCCTATTTAAAATTAACAAGGCGGCCGGGCACGGTGGCTCAAGTCTGTAATCCCAGCACTTTGGGAGGCCGAGGCGGGTGGATCACGAGGTCAAGTGATCGAGACCATCCTGGTCAACATGGTGAAACCCCATCACTACTAAAAATACAAAAAAATTAGCTGGGCATGGTGGCACGTGCCTGTAATCCCAGCTACTCAGGAGGCAGAGGCAGCAGAATTGCCTGAACCCAGGAGGCGGAGGTTGCGGAGAGCTGAGATCGTGCCATTGCACTCCAGCCTGGGTAACGAGTGAAACTCCGTTTCAAAAAAAAAAAAAAAAAAATCAACAAGGCGTTCTATTTCGGTTTAGTCTTTTATGATATGTGGATTCTCCTACTTTAGGATAATGTAACAACTGGGAACAAGTCAGAGACCACTTTTTACACATCTTGACATGAAAAAGAAATACCTTATATTAGAGAATGTTTGTATGCTGTACTTCACAATTTTATATACAGAAGCGATAGCACAGTTTGGAGGCAGTGTGTGAAAAATTGCAGGACTGCCAGGCATGCTGGCTCACGCCTGTAATCCCAACACTTTGGGAGACAGGGTCAGGAGGATCACTTAAGGCCAGGAATTGGAGAAAGCCTGGGCAACAAAGCGAGACCTCGTTTCACACATACACACACACACACACACGAGATATGTGTGTGTGTGTGTGTGTATATATATATATATATATTAGCTGGGCACAGTGGCATGTGCCTGTAGTCTCAACAGCTCGGGAGGCTGAGGCTGAGGTGGGAGGATCACTTGAGGCCAAGAGTTCGAGGTTGCAGTGAGCCATGATCACACCATCCATTCCAGCCTGGATGACCTCATCTCAAAAAAAAAAATTATTTGCAAGATCGCCAGTCGGAAACAGATTGAAATTCTTAGAGACAGGCCCAATCACCTTACCCTCCAGTGGTGCAGAGGCCACTAATTTACATTTTACCGGAACCCTAGGCTTGATCTGACAGTATGCTATAAGGATACCTGCCAAAGAAATACAGGGCTCCATTCTTCTAGGGCTCGTTATCATTCGGTATATATGAAGAAAATAAGCGATACGATCCACAGACATGGGGGATTGGCCAGGTTTGCCCAGAAGCTAGAGACGGGACCGTTATCCCAATTTTATTTTTTAAATAGGGAAGGTGGGGGGGCGGGGGGGTCTCACTATGTTGCTCAGGCTGGTCTCGAACTCCTGGACTCAAGCGAGCCCCTAAAGTTCTGGAATTTACGGCACCCGGCGGTTTTTTGTTGTTGTTGTTTGTTCTGGTTTGGTTTGGTTTTTTTTGGGGGGTGGGGGTTACATAGGCAGAGTACTCGTTTTCTAAATTTTGCACAAAGAAAACGGAATTTAGGAAGGACCCGTCCGTCCGGGCCAATCGCTGACAGCGCGACCGGAAGCTCAACGGTGACGGAGACTCTCAGGTATCGCGAGGAGAAGTGTAAAAACTGCCGACAATCGATTGGCTAACGAGGTCGGTGACGCTAGACGCAAGACGCCGGGCCTACTGCGGGAGCGTAGAGTAGGCCGTGCGTTCCGTTACAAGGCCTCTGTGCGCCCGTGGAGTAGCCATCATGAGCAAAGCTCACCCTCCCGAGTTGAAAAAGTAAGTATGTATGAGAAAGAAACCGAAACGGTCGCTTCTGTGAGTCCCCCGAGTCCCTTTGTTCCCTCGCCATTCGCCGAATGGCTTGAGCCACCACCTCATTTTTTCTTCGGGTCCGGGGTCGCCGGGCTCTCGGCCAGGCTCCCGCGCTTGGGACGTGAAGCCCGCGCAGAGCTAGCGCGTCGGCGTGGTTACCGCCGGCAGCCGCCGCACCTCCTTCCGGCCGACCAGCCTCCCGCTGCTGCGGTCGGGTCCCTGGTCACCCCGCGCTCTCCCTCCCTCGTTCCTTGAAGATCTTGAATGCCACCTTTTGTTGAACATCTCGAATAGCATCATGTTCTAGTTAGATGGCTAGAGGGGTAATTCTGTAGAGGAACTAAAGAGGGGCTGGAATGGAAGTGTTTTTAAAAACTCCGTGAGGCGTCAGACTCCAAAAGCCACTGTAACTTTAGAGAATGTGTTTGTAACTGTTTTATCTTGCCTTCTTTTACGTTAAGTTTGAATGTCGTATGTTATCTTGCTCTGATGTGATAACTATGTAAGAATATTCATTTTTCTTTTTTTTATAACATTAACTTTTTTCTAATCAAAGAAGGCTAGTGTTTTGAAGTTTTTTTCTGCACACCCAGTAAAATCAAACAACTTTAGGTAGGAGAGCCTTACTTCAGGTAGGACTCAACATAAAGCTTTAAACTCTTCAAATACTTCTTGACTGGACTTAACATGTTCTGTGTTTCCTGAGTTCGTTTCTGTTTTGTGTATACTCCTTGGTGCTGGAATTCTACATGTAGTAGCCGAATTCACAAAGGGTGCAGAATTCTTACAGGGATCAGTTTTCTCTGGCATAGCGTGTGGTTGGCTTTGTGTAGTTCGTTTATTACCACGCCCACAGAAGTTAGACATAAGGAAAAATTCCTGTTTAATAATTTTGAGGCCGGGTGCGGTGGTTCACGCCTGTAATCCCAGCACTTTGGGAGGCCGAGGTGGGTGGATCACCTGAGGTCAGGAGTTTGAGACCAGCCTGGCCAACAGGATTAAACCCCGTCTCTACTAAAAATACAATTAGCCAGGTGTGACGTGGCCTGTAATCCCAACTACTTGGGAAGCTGAGGCAGGATAATTGCTAGAATCCGAGAGGCGGAGGTTGCAGTGCAGTGAGCCGAGATCATGCCATTGCACGCCAGCCTGGGCAACAAGAGCAATTCTTTTTCAAAAAATAATATTTTTGCTTTTAAAGGTGCATTTGTATCAAAGCCATCTTTGTGTGAAAACTCCTTGCGTTTATATTTTAGTTAGGTCTGTTAAGGAATAATTTTATGGCCGGGCGCTGTGGCTCAAGCCTGTAATCCCAGCACTTTGGGAGGCCGAGGCGGGTGGATCACGAGGTCGAGAGATCGAGACCATCCTGGTCAACATGGTGAAACCCCATCTCTACTAAAAATACAAAAAATTAGCTGGGCATGGTGGCGCGTGCCTGTAATCCCAGCTACTCAGGAGGCTGAGGCAGGAGAATTGCCTGAACCTGGGAGGCGGAGGTTGCGGTGAGCCGAGATGGCGCCATTGCACTCCAGCCTGGGTAACAAGAGCAAAACTCCGTCTCAAAAAACAATAATAATAATAATTTATCACAATATGCAAAATCGAGTCTATATTTACCACCCAACATTCAAACACCAAACCTTACAGCCACAAATACTCAAGTGTTCTGTTCTTCAAACTGAACTATTTGTATTTGCTAACACTTGCTGTGTAACTTCGAACAATTTACTTAACCTTTCCATACCTAGTTCTCCATCTGTAAAATGGTGGTAATACTAGACCATAATTGCAAAGTCCTTGTAAAGATTGAATAAGATCTTGGATGTTATATTTGCTGTGCTTTTATATATCTTACTGAAATATAGTCTTGTTCATCATACTTCATAAATACATTTTCACTTGTAAATGTCTACTCCCTCTTTCAGTCATGCTCCCTGTTTTATATTTGAATTCTTCCATGATTATTCTGTACATTAAAATTGAGTAAGTGCCCACTTCACAGCCCATATGCTAAAATTTTTTCCCATTTTTTTATATTTTAAAATTTAAATGAAATTTCTAAAACTGAATGTAATTTCATGTTTTCTGGCCTATAAATGGAAGAGATTAAAAACTGATTTGACTACATGGCTTAGTAGTCTCATATTCCACTAAAATGGAATTTTCCTTAATTCATATTGTTTGAAGTTTCAAAATATGCATTTATTATACTAAAATATACTTAAAGGTTGAGGACTACCCTGAACATTTATGCTTGATGCTTTCATATTAAATAAAAGAACACTCCTTTTTATCTTGAATATAAAATACCTATTGAATTGGCTTTGGTTTGTTTACTGTTTGCTGTCTTTACAACTTAGTTTTAGAAATAACCAAATGTAAACAAGTCTTTGTTTTTCTGTTATGACTGTAAAACCCAATTATTGAAAATTAGGTTAATGAGACCAGATGAGGTAGCTTATGCCTGTGTAATCTCAGCAGCACTTTGGGAGACTGAGGGGAAGCATATTTTTTGAGGCCAGGAATTCAAGACCAGCCTGGTCAACATAATGAGATGCTATCTCTTTTTAAAAAAAGAAAGAAAGAAAGAAGTAAAGAAACTTAGGTCAATGAAACAACATAGTATTGAACAATAAGAATGTTTTTGTAATTCACATTAGTATAAAGACTCCACTTAATGTAGATTAACACAGTCTAAATATGTTTCATTTTTATTGTCTTTCCCCTTCCCAAATTACTTTGCTTTGTAGAATGTCTAAATTAGGTAACCTTTTCTTCCCCTGAAATGGGGTTTTGCTCTATTGCCCAGCTGGAGTGCAGTGGCTCACTGCAGCCTCAACTTCACAGTTCCAGTGATCCTCTGACCTCAGCCTCCCAAGTAGCTGGAACCATAGGCACATGCCACCACACCCAGTTAATTTTTGTATTTTTGGTAGAGATGGAGTTTCACAATGTTGCTCAGGCTGGTCTCAACTCCTGAGCTCAAGCAGTTCACCCACCTCAGCCTCCTAAAGTGCTGGGATTACAGGCATGAGCTACCTTGCCCTATTCCCTCACTCTTCACAGTAGTACAGTATTTTTACTGTTTTAGATGTCATTATTCCCATTGTATAAATTTTAGCAAATTATTTTAACTATACCTATTTATGTACTTGTTTATGCTTAAAATTTTCTAATTGGTTATGTAATCTTTACCCTTTTGCTTTTTCAGATTTATGGACAAGAAGTTATCATGTAAGTTTGTTGTTTTGGGTTTTTTGCAACTTTATAAAAATTTAAAGCACACAGGACCTCTAATTCACATCCATTAATTAAGCAGATTACTTAATCCTAACTAAACAATTTTATTTACCTAATTTCTGATATCTAATGAATTTAGTAGCACTTCAGACTTTATATTACATAAGCCATTTCTCACTTTAACAAAATTAACAGGATTTATCAACCTTTTTTCCTTTAAGCTACAAAAGACTTAGATACGGAAGAATTGTTTTGTTTCTTGGGAATATGTAGGAATTTGTTCAGTTTAACTAAAAATCTGACCCACACAGTGCTTGAAGTATGTATGTAGGGGACAAAACCATCAGCATTAGAGGTAAGCAGCCTTTAGCTTGAATCTCACTTCTACCATACAGTAGCTGTATAACCATGAATGCAGTTACTTAAAAGCTCGGACACAGTGGATTACCTCTGTAATTGCAGCACTTTGGGAGGCCAGAGTGGTAGGATCCCTTGAGCTCGGGAGTTTGAGACCAGCCAGGGCAACATAGGGAGCCTGCCACCCCCCCCACCCGCCATGGCCATCTCTTAAAAAAATAAAAGCTGCTAGGCTCATGCCTGTAATCCCAGCATTTTAGGAGGCCGAGGAGGGTGGATCACCTGAGGTCAGGAATTTGAGGCCAGCCTGACCAAACCCCGCCTCTACTAAAAAATACAAAAATTAGCCAGTCCTGGTGGCGTGTACCTTTAGTCCTAGCTGCTTGGGAGGCTGAGACAGGAGAACTGCTTGAACCCAGGCAGCAGAGGTCGCAGTGGGCCTAGATTGCACCACTGCACCACTCCAGCCTGGCAACAGAGTGACCCTCCATCTCAATAAATAAATAAAAGCTCTAAAGTTTGATTCTATCCTATAAAGTAAGGATTACTACTTTATAGGATTCTTACAAATTAAAATGTGGAAGTAAATACAAAAATGTTTAATCCAGTGCTTGGCATACAGTAAGGATAGTGGGTCAAACATCTCAAATATTTGTATTTTTCTAAAATGTCTTTTTCCCTTTTTAATAGTGAAATTAAATGGTGGCAGACATGTCCAAGGAATATTGCGGGGATTTGATCCCTTTATGAATCTTGTGATAGATGAATGTGTGGAGATGGCGACTAGCGGACAACAGAACAATATTGGAATGGTGGTAAGTAAAGATACAAGATTTCTCTTGGAGACTTCATTTTCCTTTTGGAATATGTGTTAACTTTCCTAGTTAGTAACCCCCAGAAATGGCAAATAACAGGCAAGATTAGGTTTTCCATCTCCTTTTTAGTTAAACATGTGGCAGTTATTCAGCTGTGGTAATATCCTGGTTACCTATAGGTAAGATCTCAACTATACAGAACCTAAGGTCCTGGGGCTTGAAATAGCTGTTGAAAATCCTTCTTGAGCTTTATTCTGTGATAGAGGCTCATAGTTGGTCCTTCATTAGACCAATATTTCTGAAACCCTAACATGTATATGAATCCCCAGGGAATCTTGTTAAAATGCAGATTCTACTTCAGTGGGTATGGAGTGGAACTTAATTAAGATTTTGCATTTCTGCTAATGCCTAATGCAGATCTGCCAGTCCACAGATCACACTTTCTGATTTTATTTGTATACATAGTTAATCTGGATTTTCTGATTTACCACACCCAAAATTTTAAAGTAGCCAAGGTAAGAGTTATAAGGGATTATCACAATGACATGCACATGAGAAAGAAAAAAACAAAACAGAAAAAAGGCAAATACTGAGCTCTCATAGGATTAAACATTCCTGCATTCATTAGGCCGTAGTTTTAGTGATTGCTGAAAAAGTTTTTTTCTTTTTTTTTTTTTTTTTTTTTTGACAGAGTCTCGCTCTGTTGCCCAGGCTAGAGTGCAGTGGTACAATCTTAGCTCACTAAACCTCTGCTTCCCAGGTTCAAGCAATTCTCCTGTCTCAGCCTCCCGAGTAGCTGGGACTACAGGAACGTGCCACCATGCCCGGCTGATTTTTTTGTATTTTTAGTAGAGACGGGGTTTCCCCATGTTGCCCAGGCTGGTCTCGAACTCCTGAGCTCAGGCAGTCTGCCTGCCTTGGCCTCCCAAAGTGCTAGGATTACATGTGTTAGCCACCTTACCCAGCTGAAGAAGAGTTTTGATACTTGTCAGCAAGACCCAGACTTTGATTAGCTGGGCATGGTGGCGAGTGGCTGTAATCCCAGCTACTCAGGAGGCAGAGGCAGGAGAATTGCCTGAACCCAGGAGGCAGAGGTTGCGGTGAACTGAGATCGCGCCATTGCACTCCAGCCTGGGTAACAAGAGCGAAACTCCGTCTCAAAAAAAAAAAAAAAAAAAGACCCAGACTTTGAGACTTTGAGTCCTTCTTTGTCAAACACAGGATAACGTATCTAAAAAGTGGTAAGCCCAAAGTTCTTGAAAAAGGTGAGCCAAAAAGGACAACTTACTTTTAGCAAATTATTGAGTATAAAGACATCCAAGGGGTGGTAAGAGTTGCTAATTATTAGCCTTGATTTATTAACTTTTTTTTTTTTTCCCGGAGACAGTCTCGCTCTTGTCGCCCAGGCTGAAGTGCAGTGGCGTGATCTCAGCTCACTGCAACCTCCGCCTCCTGGGTTCAGGTGATTCTCCTGCCTCAGCCTCCCAAATAGCTGGATTACAGGTGCCTGCCACTGCGCCGGCTAATTTTTAGTAGAGACAGGGTTTTACCATCTTGGCCAGGCTGGTCTCAAACTCCTGACCTCGTCATCTACCATGCCCATCCATAACCTTGATTTTTTAAATTGGAGCAGTAGAGTTGAAGATAGACCTATTTTGACATCTCTGCCGGTTTAATTTTTTACAAACCATTCTTCCCAAGGTTTGGGTTATTACTTAATTCAGATACTTTTTCATTACTGTATTTTGAAAAGCAAATCAGTAGTCACGACTGAAAAAAAAATTTAGAGTCTCCAGATACCACACTGTACTCCCAAGTTTCATGTAGGCTTACTTGTCTTTCAGGTATATTTCCTTGTGAGCGTCTGTTGAATAGGCTGCCATCATCATTATTGGCCGAGTCCTTATAAAAACACTTTCTAGGTACCCCAAGATTTTCCTCTAAACCTTTATTTTTACAAATAAATCTTAGTTCTAATAGAAGGTAGAGTAGGTTTTTAGTCATCCCAAGAAATTTGCTGAAAAGAATTCAGGAAGCACTTGGCACCTGAAAGGCAAGAACTACAGCCTGGCATGGTGGCTCACGCCTATAATCCCAGTACTCTGGGAGGCCAAGGCAGGTGGATCACCTGAGGTTGAGAGTTCGAGACCAACCTGACCAACATGGAGAAACCCCGTCTCTACTAAAAATAAAAAAATTGGCTGGCCGTGGTGGCAAATGCCTGTAATCCCAGCTACTCAGGAGGCTGAGGCAGGAGAATCACTTGAACCTGGGAGGTGGAGATCGCATCATTGCACTACACCCTGGGCAACAAGAACAACAGGAGCAACACTGTCTCAAAGAAAAAAAAAAGGCAAGAACAGAGATGAACTTTTTGCTGAAGTTGGGAGAAGGAAAACAAATAGGTTAAGATTTTGTTCATTTTGTTAAAAGTTGTTTGACAAAGGACAATTGGCTTATTACCTTATCTAAGTTAGTGATCCATTGAGGCCATTGAAATTACTTAATACTGTTTTATTGCAGATGTGTATGTGTTGGCTAGGCACAGTGGCTCACACCTGTAATCCCAGTGCTTGGAGAGGCTGAAGCAGGAGGATCACTTGAGCCCAGGAGTTCGAGATCAGCCTGGGCAACATAGTGAGACCTCATCTCTACAAAAAAAATTAGAAAATTAGCCAGGCATGGTGGTGTGCACCTGTAGTCCCAGCTACTCAGGAGACTGAGACAGAAAGATCCCTTGAACCCAGGAAGTCGAAGCTGCAGTAAGCTGAGATCACACCGCTGCACTCCAGTCTGTGTGACAAAGCAAGATCCTCACTCAGAAAAAAAGAGGATGTGTGTGTTTTCAGGAGTTTGTTTGTTTTTAACCTGTCAATTGGAAAGTTACCTAATCAGTCTCAGCTATCGTCTGAGACAGCCCCAGAGTTTTATTTTATAATATTACATAGTTCAGGCACTCTTGCTAGAGTTGAGCTTCTGTAGCATCACTGAAGCACAGCAAAAGGAGCAGTACGTAATTCTGGACCTGATAGTTCAAGTTTTATATGGAGAATTAAGCCTCAAACACAGTGGCAAAAGAGGAAGAGCACTATAGTAGTCCTTTATCCTCAGAGTGGGTACCAGAAAACACAGATAGTACTGAATCCTAAGCACGAATTTCATATTACTTCTTCACAGTCTCACAGATAGAAGATTCATCCTTACCGTAAATCTTAGCAGTCTCATACTGTTTTTTTTCTTTTCTTATTAAATCAAGAACTTGTACCATTTCACTTAAAAGAGACACTTTTCAGCTTCTCTTATACTTTCAGGCTATTACTAAGTAAACCTTGACTGTTTTCTTGAACCCAAGTAACCCTTTGATACCACAACAGTCAATTGGAAAACTGAGATAACTGATGAATGGGCAGCATGGAGATGCTAGACAAAGGGATAATCCATGTTCAGGGACAGTGTGAGATATTAATCGCACTACTCAGAACATCATGCAACATTAAACTTAGGGATTGTCTGTTTCTGGGATTATACATTTCATGTTTTTGGACCACAGATAAGGTGGGACAAAGTTCACCATCTAGCCTTATTTTCTAAATATTATGTGACAAGACAAAGAAGTATATAGATTTAGCAGGAAGCTAGGAAGGAAAGCTAGCTTTTCTTGCTTTGGCCAGTGAAATGTGATGTTCAACATCTGTTGCCAAAAATGGGGAATTTAAAATTCTGATAACTGGCCAGGTCAGTGGCTCACACCTGTAATCCCAGGACTTTGAGAGGCCAAGGCAGGATGATCACTTGAGACTAGGAGTTTGAGATCGGCCTGGACAACATGGTGAGACTGTCTACAGAAAATTTAAAAATTAGCCTGGCTTAGTGGTTCATGCTTCTGGTGTCAGCTACTTAAGAGGCTGAAGTGGGAGGATCACTTGAGCCCAGGAGGTCAAGGCTGCAGTTAGCTGTGACTGAGCCACTGCATTCCAGCCTGGGTAATACAGCAAGACCCTGTCTCAAAATTCATTAAAATGAAAATAAAATTCTGATAACTAGGTAAGCATGTTTCCATTCCTGGTTTATGCTAGGCATGGTGATGTGCACCTGTAGTCTCAGCTACTCAAGAGGCTGAGGCAAGAGAACCATTTGAGCGTAGGAGTTTGAGGCTTCATTGTGCCCTGATTGTGCCTGTGAATAGCCACTGCACTGCAGCCTGGTCAGCATAGCTAGTCCCAGTCAAAAAAAAATGGAGAGGAGTTCTGTTCTTAACTTACAAGAAGAGTGTGAATCTTTAGACCCCTTCAGTTGCCACTGTCATTTTGTCATTTTTAGGGCATTGTGCTTTATTTTTTTTTCTTTTTTTTTTTCTTTTGGTTAGGAGGCAGAAAGAAAGGCATTGTTCTTACTGGATTTTGTTGTTGTTTTGAGACAGGTCTTAGTCATCACCCAGGCCAGAGTGCAGTAGCATAGAGCTTACTGCAGCCTCAACCTCTCTAGGCTCAGTTTATCCTCCCACCTCGGCCTCCCAAGTAGCTGGAATCACAGGTGTGCACTACCACACTTGGCTAATTTTTGTAGCGATAGGATTTTGCCATGTTGCCCAGGCAGGTCTCAAACTCCTGGGCTCAAGCAGTCCGCCCATCTGGGCCTCCGAAAGGGAGCCTCGGCCTGAGATTACAGGTGGGAGCCACCATGCCCAGCCATTCTTTTAAATCTGCTCCATTGCTACCTTATCATACTGGTTGCTGATAATTGGCTGCCAGATTCCAAGACACTTTTCCTACCAATTGTGTTCCCTTTTATTCTGTCAACTGCAGTAATCACATGTGAGTTCTTTTATTAATATTTAGCAGGTACTTGAGCCCTTTGTGTACCTGCTGCTGTTTTGGGCACTGGGATTTTGCACCAAAGTCCTTGCCCTCGTAACATTTACATTTGCATGGAGAACACTGATAAATCATAGTGTATTTGTAAATAAAACAAGCATGATACAGGGAGAAAAGAACAAGTTACAACTACTTTTACTCTAGCTGCCTATAAGCATAGCTCCACTTTGAATCTTTTTAGAATGCCTCCATTTCTAATAAACACCTCAAATTATTACCTATCCTTTACCTCCCCTACCCCTCCATTCACCTATCCAATTCTACTTGATTTACGGGTGATCTGTCAATTACTGTGATCTACTGTCTATCAGGGACTTCTTGTTTTCAGTCGCCTAGCCTTCTTGAATTCATTTACCAGCTGATTCAGCTATACCCTGATAAGTTTTTTGGTTTTTTGTTTCTGTTTTGAGACGGAGTTTCACTCTTATCGCCCAGGCTGGAGTGCAATGGCACGATCTCAGCTTACTGCAGCCTCTGCCACCCAGATTCAAGTGATTCTCCTGTCTCAGCCTCCCAAGTAGCTGGGATTACAGACATGTGCCATTACACGTGGCCAATTTTGTATTTTTAGTAGAGATGGGGTTTCTCTGTGTTGATCAGGCTGGTCTCCAACTCCCGACCTCTGGTAATCCACCCGCCTTGGTCTCCCAAAGTGCTGGAATTACAGGTGTAAGCCACTTCACCAGGCCCAGATAAGTATTCTTAATTTATGGCCTGTCTACTGGGTCAAGCACTATTCTCTTGGGCCCTTTCTTTATAACTTTTCTGCCTCTAGGTTCTGTCCTTCTCAAACTTTGGTTTATTTATATAATATCTTGTTGCCAGGACACTTAAGATTGTCATTCCCCCAAATGTGAAACTCACTGGCTCATTGTTAGTTCCAGATGTCCTCCAAACACTAAGATTGGCATTTGAGCCGGGCGCGGTGGCTCAAGCCTGTAATCCCAGCACTTTGGGAGGCCGAGGCGGGTGGATCACGAGGTCAAGAGATCAAGACCATCCTGGTCAACATGGTGAAACCCCGTCTCTACTAAAAATACAAAAAAATTAACTGGGCATGGTGGCACGTGCCTGTAATCCCAGCTACTCAGGAGGCTGAGGCAGGAGAATTGCCTGAACCCAGGAGGTGGAGGTTGCGGTGAGCCGAGATCGCGCCATTGCACTCCAGTCTGGGTAACAAGAGCGAAACTCCGTCTCAAAAAAAAAAAAAAAAAAAAGATTGGCATTTGAAGCTTTCCAAGATTGAATGCCAACTATCTTTGTTTCCTGCTTCTCTTCAATAACTTTTTAGTGCATTCAAATTAGATTACTTCCTTATCCTCTTATACTTTGTCTTTATCTTAGTTCTAAAGTTTCCTATCTCCTTTTCAAAATTGTACTCAATTTCCATGACCCAGGTAAAATGTCATTTTCATAGAGCATGCCTTTCACGATTTCCCATCCTGGTTTGTTCCCTA